CTTTTATCGCGTTTTAGGACCTTCCGGGTCGTTTTGCGATAAATCCGTTTTTTGACCTTGCACGGGATCGTTTCCTGATTCGATGCCGTTTTTAGTAATTTCCTCGAGTTAATCGTAAAGTTTAGCTACATTTTTTTCTTGGTTAATCGTTTCCATCTTTTACGATTTACTCGACATTTTTATTACAAACGCGTTTTTACGATTTACTCGACGTTTTTATTAAAAATGCGTTTTTTTACGATTTTAACGAAAAACTCGAATAAATCGTATAGTTTAGGCGATGTTCGGTGTCTTGTTTAACTGTTTCCGTTTTATACGATTTCTTCGAGTTCTTTTCGAGAAAACGGAGTTTTACGGTTTTTATCGTAAACTCGAACGATAGGTCGGAATGAGACGAAACGGGAGACATTTCAACCGTGGTTCAGAACGCGACCGTGTCGAAGGACATAAGTTTCGAATCGGGGATACGGGAGATTGAGGGTCGGGATGGTCGGTTCGACGTACGACGAACCGAGCCGGTTCGGTCCAGCTCGCCAGTTGGCGAACTATCCGGAACTATCCGAGAAGCTCCTAGTTCGCCTGCTGGCGAACTAAGCCAGCTTGGCTTAGTTGGCCAGCAGGCGAACTAGTCGTGACTAGTTTGCGTTTTACGGCGGTTTCGGTTTTTCGCGGTTTTGTAAAATTATTCTCGAGTTTTATAAAACCATTCTTCGAGTTTTTATAAAACGATTCTCGAGTTTTATAAAATGATTCTCGAGTTTTATAAAAAGATTCTCGAGTTTTATAAAACGATTCTTCGAGTTTTATTTTATAAAATGATCCTCGAGTTTTATAAAATGATTCTGGAGTTTTATGAAACGATTCTAAAAGTTTTATAAAACGATTCTCGAGTTATTCTCGAGTTCCATAAAACGATTCTTCGAGTTTTATAAAACGGTTTCTCGAGTTTTATAAAACGATTCTTCGCATTTTATAAAACGATTCTCGAGTTTTATAAAACGATTTCTCGAGTTTTATAGAACGATTTCTAGAATCTTATAAAACGACTTCTCGAGTTTTATAATATGATCTCTCGAGTTTTATAAAACGGAATCTTCTTTTATAAAGCGATTTCTCGTGCTTTGTAAAACGATCTCTTGAGTTTTATAAAACATATTTTTATTATTATTTTTGCGGAGACTTTTTGCCATTGATTCCGTCGTGACCGATTTTGACACCAACAATATTTGCCTGAAATCCCCACCTAGCAAAACTGTCTTTCCGCCAAATAGTTTATCTGCAAGTTCTGCATCATCTACTGACAATATGTCCCTGAGTGACCGGTCAACATTTTTAAACGTCTGGCGGAGAGCCATTGGAGCCTCATCCCAAATAATTATATCCGATTTTGCTATTAGGTCAGCTAGAATCGATCCAGGTGTGATCTCACACACTGTTTTTTCACTGAGAGTTAATGGCAGCTTGAATCTCGAGTGAGAAGTCCTTCCTCCGGGAAGGAGGAGTGCAGAAATGCCTGAAGATGCTATTGGTATGACGATCTTCTTTTCAGACCGGAGCTTGGATATGAGAGTCCTGTATAAGTATGTTTTACCCGTCCCACCAGGACCGTAAACAAAGAATAGCTTGCTAGTTTTCTTATCAACAAACTTCATGACCGCATCATATATCGTTTTCTGCTCTGAATTCATGCCATCATATAGGTTGGCATGCTCACATCTTTCCTGCTCTAAGTCGTAAGTCATCTCTTCTCTTAGTACACTGTTAGCTATGTCATCAAGGATTTTTTTATCTGCCATAGGCATTCATGTGTAATCTGTAAGAGATTTACCACTTTCTTGTAGGAGCCTTTCAATTTCCATCAATGTATATTGCTGCAGCTGGTCGTCTTGAAGTACTAACCCATCGAAGTTAAACTCTTTTTTTAAGGTAGAGAATGTCCTCAGCCAAATGTCTCCACACGTAATTCCACAACTTCAGAGGGATTCCAACCTACCAGTAGATCAAGAGACGAACGAAGAGTCGTTGTTGTTGTCTTCCAGTTTCCCAATAAGATGCTTCGTCTACAGCTTCAACCCACTCTTTGTCATCGTCTAATAAGCCTCTTGCGTAGCACACATCCCTGAAATCTTTGTAAGTGACATCACCAACAGTGTAGACGTCTTCATAACATCTGCAACCTTTCACAACATTAGCCAAAATCCTCAAGTAATAGACATCACCACCATTTGGGTGGATGTAAGGTATCCTTCCTATTGCAATCCCCCTTTGTCTTGGTGTCCAGAGTATTTCATCACTGTGGTAGGTAAACATACTTGGAAATTCAATATAAGTTAACTCTCGGGCCTCCTCATAAGTCTCGTTTGCGACCATCCATGCTGTGAACATTGTCCTCTCAATATTCGGCCTACTCAGGATGTCAGCTATTTTGGCTGACTGGTCATACATGAGTCTGTGTTTTCCAGGAAGGTGTATAATTAGCTTCATGACAGAAGGCTGGTTATGGTGGATGTGGAATGAGAAGAGCCTCCAGGCGGATTCACAGGCTGAAGTTTTCTATCTCGTTCACTGGTTGAGGTTGAATTTCCTTTTTACCCTCTGCTTTTCTTTTTTTTTTCCAGGTTTTCCTACATGGGCCCTTGTTCTATCTACACCTTTTGTTATGTATTTGAATAGATATTTGATGGCGCTTGTCTTGCAGCACCACTCAACATTGATGTGAGCTTTGTATTTCTTCAGAAGCTCTAGATTGTGAGGTACAACATATTCATTACCCCCCCCCCCCTTTTCATCATGTTCCACGATAAGTCCAGATGTGCTATCTATAACTCCAGATGTATTATCTCTTCTTCTGTATACTACAAACCCTGATTTATCTATCTTTGTATGCTCTGATAGTGGTTTCGGGTAGCTCTTGGTGCATTTTCCGTTCTCCATACACGTTGACTTTGGGTTTGCAACTCCGCAAGGGCCATGCATCATGTGGCGCTTCACCAACTCAAATCTCTCAGGGTCTGTAAGTTTGTTAGGTAGCTCTGCAGAGATGTACTTATCTATTAACTCTGGGGTAGCCTCGACTCTTGTTGTGCTAAACCACAGTAGAATATGGGCATGGGGAAGTCCACGCTTCTGAAACTCAATGGTGTAGACAACTGCGTTGATTTTAATTAGGTTTTAATTTTATGTTTTCCAAAATGTATTCATATTGTTAAATATACATTACCTGCGGCTGGCTTAGGAAAGAAAACTCCTTTTTTGAAATCGCTCATCAACTCATCTAATTTAAGCTTGAAGACTCGACACTCAAGATCTGGTCTGCTATTTGCTGATTCTCCACCATATGCTTTCAGATGATCACTTATTTCAACTCAGTTCGGATTAGCAGTAGCTGTTATGGAGAGATTTGGATTCCCATACCATCTACAGATTGCCATAGCATCCTGGTACTTTTCTGCCATTTATCTGGGGCCTGCTGTAAAAGAAGAAGGTAATATCACTCTCTTCCCCAGTTGCCTTGCATCTGTGTCACCACTGTCTATTGCATCGCAAACATTTGAGTACAAATCTGCACGTAGCTTCTTCTGATTCAAACTAATAAATCTTAGCCTTTCTTGCTCAGTTGCAGTGTAGGTGTCCACGATATACTGGTGCAGCAGGCGTCCAGACTTAATAAGTGTCATTCCCTCTCTTAAACGGGCATGCAGTTGATATGCATAATACTCCCTCATCGTCATACATTGTCGCTTGATTATTGACCCAGCAACTGATTGATAAGGTATTTTTTCATGGTATCCAGGTTCACCATTTGGGAATAGTATCGGGTACTGCAGACTCATTAGCAAGGGATTCAAATCACTGATCCGTTGTAGAGCCGAAGATTTGAACTCCACAACCAGGTCTCATGCTACAGAATCAACAGAAAAGTCACCAACAATCAGTCCTGCTATCTCATCAGATGTTGGGAGGTCGTATTGTCTTCCTCGATGTTTTTGTCTATTAAGTGTGATGGTGAATTCCTCTGTTTTAGATGCTTCATTGCGGTCGCGAGCGTAGCGGAAGGTTTTGGCTAGAGGGTTGTGTTCGTCTAACATAGCTATCAGATCTGAAAGAGTTTTATCATCAATTGTAACAGATGTGCTTTCACCCAATAAGGCTTTCTTCCTGTTGGCGACCTCATTCTGTGTGTCAAATATGAACAACTGAAGGTAAGCTACAGCTTTTCCTTCTTGTGGCAACAGTAACCCTATGCGATGATGGATCTGGCCGTGGATTCTGAATGTAAAAGGTCCTGGTGTTCCTGTTACTGTGTGATCTATTTGAGCACCCATTGATGTGAAGGCAAGCAGTCCGTTAGCAACTCTTGTATGTTGCCTGAATTTTGGTGTTTCAAGAAGCTCTTTTAGCGGTGATGGAGGCTGTCGTACTGGAGGGAGCTTAACACGGCCTTGCTGGCAGCAAATACTGAACCGCATGGTTTTCATCTAGGTTCCACCGCCCACAGACTCACCCCCCCAGACCAAAGCACCACACTGAGGACAGGATATAAGGTCCCATTTACCAACTTTTTTCTTGTTTTTCCCTCCTGCAATAGTGGTTTGAAAATTTAAGGTTATGTTGGTACATACAACGGACTAATCATATACCTTGCATGTTAGGTAAATACCTGCATGACCTGGAAGACGCTTGACCATACCTGGATTAGTGAGAATCGAGTAAGACTTATCAGTATTGCTTGTTGTAAATGTGAATATATATTAAAGCTAAGACATCAAAGTGGTAGTAGTAGTATTTCCATTCCTCCATAGATGCATCTAAAACTTGGTTTTAATTCGGAGTGTGTATTAGGATTTTTTTTCATTACGTAATGTCTTAGTTGCCCGTAAGGTCATCCTCATTGCCCTAGCTTTCTTTGACGTGGCTGCATAGATCAACGTAATTGCTATGTTAGAGTCGTAGACCTTATAATAGTAGGAACTGATATTAGTTATTTCATTGGCTTACACATGTTTTCAACTGTGTCTTTTGTGGAATTTGTTGCGCTGGAGCTCCCGATGCTTTATTCTTCGGCCATCCGCAAAGGTGTCCCTGTTTTTGAGCATGAAGATGTAGTAAAGGCATGGAGTGGACGTCGTTCTTCTGGAAAGGTAGGTGGAGGTTGACCAAGTGCTCTTGTTTTTGTTGCCCTTTGTGTTGGCCTCTTTGCTCTATGTTTCATTGTGGTTGCTGTGAGGATGAACGTAGTTGTTATGTATGATATTTAAAGCCTAGAAGTGTTGAATGTGGAATTTGTTAATTCATTTGTCTTACATATGTTTTCTCTTGCTTCTGTGGTGGATTTTGTTCCACTGGAGCTTCCAATGTTGTATTCATCGCCAAACTGCAAAGGCATCCTTGTTTTTGAGCATGAAGATGTGTTTGCGTCCAGGACGCTACGTTGTTCTTCGGGAAGGGTAGGTGGAAGAGGATCTAGTGTTGGTCTTGTCGAAACTGTATTAAGTGTCCACTTTAAGTAATGAATTTGGCGGTTATATCATTGTTATGGACATATAGACATTGTTGGTAACCTTGATTAATCCGTTGTTTTCTCTTAAGTTGACAGATCGCCCGTCGTCTTGCCCTAGCAGCTTTGCTGGAGGAATCTGCAAAACTCACTGTGATTAGGTGAAAAGGTTAATCAAACGGCTGTAGCTTATTTGGATACAGATTTGTCTAAGTTGAAAGTTTTTTTTAATAAAACCTGGTTGATCAGTGAGGGTCTGTAACAGAGTTTGGGTGGTTTGGAGGTTGTCGCGCTGTCGTCTTCTGCTTGCTTTCACAGACCTCGATCCTGGGACGTCACTGGTAGAGGTATCTTTCTTCTTCCCCATTTACGTAGCGTGTAACTCCGATGATCTGCTCCTATGGTAGTTTATGTTTCATTTGTTTTTTTTTTTTGTTTTCGCTGTAGTTGCTGTACATAGCCTTGAATTGCTGTGTTGATGATGATCATCAAAGTGTTTTATTCATGGTATAACGTATTCGATCTTCAAACGTTGGTAACGGTTTTATAATTTAAGAAGTAATATGACATTAGTATTCCATAAGACCATTAAGGAAATGAATACTAACTGTGACCATGGAGAAATATATGATAGATTGGTTTCAAACATCCGTTCCTAGTTGTTCTACAATTGCATGGTAGCTTGTTTGTGCTGATATTATTTTTTGTTTTGTTTATAATACGTAGAAGTTACGTCATGTTTGGACAGTGTGTGTTTAACAGCCGGAGAATATGGGTCAGATGGTCAACATTTTTAAGGTATGGTAGTGGGTTCTTTATATCTAGAAATTTAAGCAAAACACGGCATTAGGTATTTGCTTGCTGATGACGCAATGACTATTCTGTTTTCAAACTTAGGATATTGAATGTAGTTACTATGTTTTAAGCAGGAATGATGATAGCCTCCATGTGTTAATCATGTTTCCTATACGTCTGCATTTGTCGTGATTATCAAATTAAGAGTAAGAATAGCAAGATTTTTTTGTGGGCAATTAAAATTGCCTCTTTTTGGTTTTTTCATTATGATTTTTAAAAACAGAAACCAGGAAGATTTGAGTATGTGCTCATCATTACAGGGAAATATTAAAAAACTGGTGGAATTGATTCCTTTTCCAAAAGGGGGACAATGACCCACTTATTAACTTTAATGGAAATAGCAGAAAAAAACTGAAAGTAAAAACTTGAAACTTGGCTCAAGAGGCATCCCACTCGTAACCGTCTCCAACGTCTTATGCTAATCTTTTTTTCCAGTTGCAGACGCTGGGCTGAGACCTATCACCATCTCAAAAAAATCAGACATGAGGTAAAAGTGGAAACACTTTGCACAAACACTGTTGATCTCTTGTGGGTGACAATTAACTTCTGGCTTCATACTCGCATATGATTTCTCATATACGTCCTTCATCTGGACGTTAAGCTCACTGAGGGAATTCTGGATGGTTTCCCAGATATTCTTAACAGAAGCAATGCCTTCTTCATCCGTCAATTTGGTGAGTATCTTCTTGCCCTTCTCTATCATGCCCAAGGCCATGAGAATAAGACCATAAAGGTACCTTCCCTCCTTTTGACCCCCCTTGGAGGCAAGACGTAAGTGATGAAGGCCTAAGAGTTGATTCTTGAAATAGAAGTACTCAAGAGTACCCTTTACGTAGTGCGCGTCTACGTTCTTGGCCCCCAAACAACTATCCATCAACTTTTTATACCTATTAGCAAGAAGAGGCTTCTTCACCAAGGGTGCAAGGCTGAGATCCTTGGCTATCAAGGGATCATCAACACTGAAGTTCATACTCTTGCAGGTGAGGAGGGAGTTGATAAAGTCGGTGGATGAGGCAGACCCAACTTTAGAGATGGTGAGGCGCAACATGTCATCTGGAATTGACTCAAGGCAAGAGAGAGAACGTTTTGTTGGCTCCATCGTAATGCTTAGTAAGCTTTTTGTGAATTGAGTTGTTTATTTTGGTTTGTGGTGATGCTTTGTGCTTTGGTTTGCTTATATAGAAGACATTATAAGGTAAGAGTGAGAGTATATGGCTCACGTAGCTCAAGTGTAACGGTTCCCGCAATGAATCATCACCCCACTTATTTGCAGGGCTTTTATTGTAAGAAAGTGATTACGCTAACGGTTCTCCTGTAAGATGGATCGTCTAGGAACTGGATCTTTCCTATCTAAATTAATAGAATTAACAACAGTGATTATTATGGGTTTCATAGCATGTACTAACTCCTGAGTTGATAATTATGAGGAAGACAAATTTGGCGTCTGATATTTTGTAAGTTAACCTTACTCTAATCATTATTTGAGGAAGACAAATAATTTTTTATTTGTTATTAACATTATTATAGTTTTTTAATTATTTAACATTAGTATAATGTTTTAATTATGGGTAATAAAGCTAAAAACATTCTAATCAGTAAACATGATTTTCATAATAGTCTCAACAAAATCTATGCCTTCTTCATCCGTCAATTTTGTGAGTATCTTCTTACACTCATGGTGGACCTAATGGGTTTCTAAAAATTGTTATTTTGAACACTGAGACCTACAATATGCCCAATTAGACCCAAAGTTATCTAAATAGTCAACTTTAATACATGACTATAAGTTATGGAAAAACAGGGAATATAGATATGTTCAGAATAGTAAAAAAGCAAGTAATTCTTTTAAAAATAGGGAATCCTGAAATAGTTGAAACTACTAAGTATTTATCCATCAAAACACTGTAATTTTTGGAAAAATAAATTTTAAATTTTCAAAACCAAAGCTATCTTTTGATTATCATATGTAATTACGCATTTGCATATATTGTATATAGATAATACGGCCCATCTATGTTGGAGAAATGGAATTAATAAAAGTTGGTTTAATTATTTAAAAACCAAAGAGTAAATATTAAAAACCTCAAATGTCTAGCAAACACGGAAACAACAACGAAAAAAGGAAAACGACAATGACAGAAATCGAAATTAGATAGTGGACCAACTGGCCTAACAAAGACTTAGGAACCAAACACAAAGCGTATGCACTCAAGTTCTATGCATTTCGAGCCTTCTTTGGTGGATTCTCCTCAGTTGAACTTGGTGCATTCTCATGAACACTTTCAGGAATAGATTGCTGCTGCTCAGTGCTTCCCATCATCCCCCGATCACCAGATGATGCCTTGAGATCCTCACCACCGCCACCATTGGGTTTACTACCACTGGAGGCACCGATGAGTACGAGCTTGTAAGAAGGACATTTGTTTCCATGCGTATCATCATCAGGGTTGTGACCACCACCCTGTGAAGCAATAGTATTATATTAGTATTTAGCTAAATGTATAATTATCTAAAGGTATAAGTCTTGCTGGCTTACATATGGTGCGAAAGAAGGTCCAGGAATCCTGTCATTGGGATCAAAGATTCTGGCAAAAGTGAAGGACTTATGGTTACCAGAAAAATTAAATTCAGTGAGCTTCAAATGGAAAACCTATGTATTTCCAACAATGTCTTGCAGAAATTGAGGGATTTGATAGCCTGCTGGGTCTTGTTCTCCTTGTCCCTATATAGGATAGAAGAAAATAAGTTGGTACGAACTTAAATGGATCCACAAACGATGATTAGAATATTCAATGGAACATACCATAGGGTTTGCAACCTCAGCGGCTCTGACACCTGTCAGCTTAGACATAGCTGAATCGAATACAACAAACACAGCTGTATCTTCACCCGACTCCACCAGCATCTCAACCCGGTATCTAAAAACCATTTAGGTTTCAATAACAGAAAGTATCTACGTATTAATATCAGATTCTTATACGTAATTGAGGATGATAGAAAACCAAAAGCCAATGAGAACCTGACAACCCCAACAGCATTGGCATTAAAACATGTTGTGCAAGTGAATGAGGATATTCCTTGCTGGAGCTTCTTCGAACACTTAGCACATGAGATATAACACCATCCGTTTGTTGTCTCCAATGACACAATTCTGGCTTTGCAGAGGAACTCAATAGTCTGCAATGAACATAGAAAACATATACAATCCACATAAGTAGTATGTAATAAGATCTACTATTTGTTGAGCAGAAAGCTAAAACCTAACCTGAGGAGGTGACCCAAGGACGTAGTTGTTCAACTCCCCAAGTGAAACTGGTTCAACCTTCTTCACACCCCATACTGCTTCCCACTTTCTGAGTCGTTATCGGGCTTGGAAGACAACCTATAAATTGTTTACTATCAGTGTTGGATAAACCCATGTGTAAATATCGTTTGTTAAATACTGAGAGCTCGGGTAAGTACTGCTCAAATAGAGTCTGGCTTGCTGATACATCATTGTCAAAATAAAAATGAGTCCCATAGGTAGCATTAAGATAGAGTTGTCCTGCAAACCATAAATAAAGATTAACACATGGAAACATGACATCTAGGACTTCTCCATCTCTCTTATTTGTCAACGTTAATGTGAAACACATCAATCATAACATCTTAAGTTGACACTAACACCAAAAATGATAAAACACACACATAAACTTCTCAGATAAAGTTTTGGACACTAAAGTTGTTTTAAACTCAGTAGTTCAAACCTATTAGTGATAGCCTTGATAAATATAACAGAAAAAGAAAATGACCTCCTACAAACTTAGGATTGATACTCATAGCAACCATCATTTTAGGTTGGACAACACCAATCTCCAGCCTCTTGTGGAGTAGATCAGCTACACTGTCAAAAACACTGACGCACACAGATGCGTCGCTGCCAAGAAAAAAAAATGTTGAGGAACAACCACCCTTACAAATGTAGAAAAAATCGAATTTGAGGGATATGGGCAGAGAATTACTTATCTAATTTGATGGTAATCATCACTCGCTGAGTTGTCTGAGCGTGGTCATTGTATGTAGTCCTTATATCAGAAACCTCACCAATGACGTCTGTAACAAAATGTATTATTAGTCACTAAACATTTACTAAAATATTAAGATAGTAACTGAAAGACCCGCCCTAGGTAATGAAAAAAAAATAAAAAAAAAATGAAAACCCTTGATAAAATAAGAATGAAGACCCTACCTGGAAGATGGACGTTCGTGTTAGCTAATGACATGAGTTCCTAAAGAGATCGGAACCTGAACCGCTCAGTAGGAATCGGATTGGCAACTGCAGGCACCTCAACCATCTTTGTAAACTCAGTAAGCCGGATAGACACAGCAGAATCACATAGCTTAAAATTATTGTTGCTTTGCTTCTAGTAACGTCAAACCCACTTAGCTCGTACATAGCTCCTTCACGAAGAAGCTCACGGAAAGTGTTCAGCTGATGGACATAAACAGATGCTTGGATAAGGTAAGACTGCAAAAGAATGAGATTTGTAATCAAAACCAAGATTTAAACGACAAAACACAGGAAAACAGAAACTTCACAAAAAAAACAAAAAAAAACAGACCTGATCATCCAAGAGAAGCATATCCACACCCATTAGTTCGCCGCCCTTCTTAGCATTCCTTGCTTCCCAGAAGCGGAGCAGGCGTGTCACAATGATCCGAGCACAATGTCCTGGCTTCAACTCGAAAAGAGAGATTTGGGAAACAGCCATTGTTATCGGGGTCTGAGTTTGATTTATGTGTAGAGAAAAGGAAATCTAACGATTCTGTGATAACCCTTCAGCCATGGACTCCTAGTTATAGGATCTATCATGGAGAACTCGAACAGATCGAACATTCTAGCGAGTTGAGGAGTAGTGGAGAAAAAAGTAAATGAGATTTATGACTCCACCATAACTATAAAGAACCCGTTACTTCATCAATTTTGGTGTTACGGCGGGGAAGAAGACACTCTGTTTAGGGTTTTTTCAGACTGCGTGAAAGAAAGAACCATTCTGGTGGGCCAAAATCATTTTAAGCCCAAACAAAACGAAATGAACAAACAACAAAAACCGTAATGACAAAACCGTGATGTTAAACAACTGACGTGGAAGCCTGACATTGCTCCTCAAAAAAGGATGACGTGGCAGCCTAGGTGAAGAGAAGCTGCTCCTTTATATATATAGATTAGGAAAATTGAGTTTCTTTATATTAGTTCATGTATCGTAAACTGAGGTTAAAAAGAAAAAGCGAGTGAGTGAAACTTTGGGAGAGACGACGGCGATTTTGTGTTTCAAAGAGGGAAGGTTTCTGGTGAAGATGTTGACAATACGCAAACAGCATGGAAATGAAGTAGCCGGAGGTTTGTTATTTCTGTAGAATCAAAAATCAATCTGGTTGGGTCGCAATGAACAGGACAAAAACAAAAGTTTTTTTTTCAGAGGCGGTGTCTGATGAAGCCGTGGACAAGCGATTGCCAGTGAGGTTTTTTTCTATGGACCCCGACCCCAGTTGAAGGCTGAAAAACATTCGGTGGTGGATTTCCTACTGTTTGTGAGATATGTGTTCAGTACCAGAAAACATAGGCGTAGCAGCGACTGCAGTTTTAGTCTATATGTCGCCGTAATTTACCAATTACGACTACCTAACGAAAATGATTGATTCGTCGTTAGGTACCCGTCATAATGGAAAATTGGATACAACAATTATCGATTCGTCGTTAAGTGCCCGTCATAATGGAAAATTGGATGTAAAGTCATCGTAAACTTTACGACTAAACAATTTCGTCATAAATTGGTCATAAAGCTTGTAGTCGTAAATTGGACGTTGACTAAGACGTAAAGTTACGTCCTTTCTTTTCAACGTCCATTGTTCATAAAGATTGGCCGTAAGGTAGTCGTAATAGTTAGACATTAAACATAATTAAATTAGTCGTAATATTTCCGACAACTAACATCAACAGCCGACGTAAACTAGACGTAAATATTACGACCACTTTACATCGAATCGGTTTAATTCATTACAACTAGTTTGCATCCAACTAAATACTTAAATTTAAAATTTTAAGTTTTAAATTTTAAATTTATAAAATGAAAAAATTACAAAACTAATAATTTATAAAATGAAAAAATTGAAAACAAAAGTCTAATATACTCGAAACATAAATAATACATTCAAGCTAAAAAAATAAAAAGCTAATATTAAGGTTGATGTCGTCGAAGAGTTGGGAGCTGTGCGTCACGGCCCGTTGCTCCATTTGCACCAGCTCTTCTGGAGTGGAAAGATTGAGAGAAGGGAACCAGAAAAACACAGACTTTTACCTTCCACCCTTGCAAAAGCAGTCCTATCCAATGTATTTCAAGCCCCAAAACAGATAAGTCAGTTAGGGTTGGAAGTCATCTTTGGTTCCTTCAAAAATTTTGAGTAAGTGTGATCTAATGGCAAGAAGATCCACTTTAGTATCATTAAAATTATTTGTGCTCTCAATCACAATGAGGGTCAACAATAGTGTTATAACAAGCAGAAATTTAAAAATGATCATAGTCCCCTTCTTGCCTCAATAAAATATTATTAAATTCGTATATATATCATAGATAAAATCAACTAAAAGCAGAAAGCATTAACGAGCCTCCCCCTAACTTAAATAACACTGTCTCAGTGTTCAAATTGCCTGAGTCAGGTAGCGAGAGTTAGAATGGAAATGAGTTATTTGTTAAGGTGTAAAACTCGTACCTTTGTTCTTATGCGCCATCGATCGATGTTACCTAACGGGTATCGATCGATATCCAACTGAGAGTGTGAACCCGGCAACAAGTAATCCGTGAAAACATGTCTCAGTACGATCATCTCAATATGTTAGATAGCCAAAGGTTCATAAAATAGATATAGGTACTAAATCCAACAAGCAAGAAAGCAAAATAAAAGGTACATGCATAATCCTGAAAGATAACATAAAATAAGATGGAGGAGTGCTAAGCGAAGGGCTACTCCTCCTCCTCGGGAGAGTCCATATCGTGCTGGCCCGGTGCTGCTGCTGCTGCTGTTGGTGATCTCGCTCAGGTACGTGAACGGCTGTAACACTGACACCTAGATATCGTCTCTATCCTTCATCAGATAGCATGATGTTGCAAGGAGATGACGCTTACCAAAAATCCAAATGGTTAGATGGCCTCAGATAGTTCTCTTCTTCAAGATTAGCTCACCGCTGAACTGTTTTCAAAGAGACATCAAGCTTGGGTTCAGATCAGAAACAGAACAAGCTCTAGGGTTTATTCTGGATATGTCACCTTTTGATCTTCCACACAACAACAGACTGAAAAAACTGATGGAAGAAAATCGCCTAAGGCACTTCTTTATTTTTCTCTGATTGTTTTCTCTTCTTCTTTCTCTCTTAATTTTTCTCTGGGTTTTCTTGCAGAAACAGGACGTCCAGAGGAGAGATGATGGTATTTTATAGCGTAAGAGGTTGCTTCACCTCAGGGCTTCACTCTGGACAAAGCAAGGAAATGAGTTGACAGCCGGTGAGATGCTTCAGCACTTTCCAGCCACCAAACAGCTCACACTTTCCTTCTGATGAAGAAATCTTCCCAGCCATATTTTTTTATGTTTTAATTTACTAAGAAGGCATGCAAGCACACAGGTGGATATCATGTGACTTAATTACTGAGGAAGCAAGCAGTATAGAAGGTGCAAGGCATGTGACAGGTCAGCAAGGAAAATAGAAAGCTGGTCGATATGTCAGAACAGTTTTCGACTAATGATTTTTCGTCCATTAATTCCCGTCCTGCTCTCGACTAAACTCGTCCACCATGAATAAACACTTGAACATACTATTTAAAAATCGACCACAACTATCACGGGAAGGTCTTTCAACCACACGACAGTCCCGTCAAGACAATAATTCATCGGGTCAATTTTTATTTAAATCTGATCCGACCAACTCCAAACTGGTTGAGCGGAATTTTCTCGACCAAAAGTATATCTGCTCTTGAGGGTTATTACATTCTTCCCCCACCCTCAAAGGAATTCGTCGCCGGATTCTAAAAACAAAGATTTACACACTTTACTGAACACTGGAGTCTCTGCAAAGGGTTCTGCATATCAGTGCTGGACTTATTTTCATCTGCATATATCAGATCAACTCATGGACGGTTTCCCCCAAATACTTGAACTTACACAATTTCCCGATTGTCCAATCTTGTAATACGGCTCTCATCGATCCGAAAAGAACCTTAAGGATAGGCGAGATTGGGTTGCGAGTTCTGTGGTTTCAGTGATTTTATAATACTGGAGTTTTGTATTTGCTTACACAACATCAACACTTGACATACTAGATGCATAAACATATCTGCAAGAAGTTCTGGTCTATAGAGAACCTTTCCAACTATGAAAAATCACTACTCAGTATAGATCAATATATCAGATTGTCGATTTTTCCCAACTCTTACAAACAATCCTCTATTTTCTGAGCAAACACCTTGAACAAGACCAATTGTTTTACTCCAACACAACTCTCTTAAACTGTGGTCTACATACTTCTATTTACAGCCTTGAATCTCTGAATACCATCTCTTCTGAAACATTTCTATATGTCTTTCTCCCATACCAATAACATGAAATGTGGGCCGTTTGGTGATGTGCCATACGTGAAGGTAACATTTTCGGTCTGGTCAATGTCAACTTGATTTACCTTGCAACAATCAAACACGAACATGCACGATCAATCACGCTAACATGATTTTTAACCAAGGGTACTACTCTCAAATATACACATACATGCACCCATTCCACGAACGATTTCCCTTACAATAATCAAGACACTCTTGTCTATATGAGATACACTTCAAAAGCTTCTGAACGACTCAAATTTCTCTGGAGTTTCCTATGTCCATGTCTGGTTCTATTTCTTTCTAATTTCCTTCTTCTGTTTACCAACTGAGCATCCAACAGGTTAATTTATACCAAGCTTTATTTACCAACTGAATTCTCTTGTATGATGACTTTTTTACTTTCTATTATAATACATACTCTGATATCTTAACAACTTGGGCATTCCCATAAGCCTTATGGCTATACCTTTTTCTTGTGCTCTTCAATCTTCCTCGGGGTTCTCTTCATTCTGTTCTTCCTAAGTTTTCCTTAAGTTCTCATCCTCCAACTGAGTTCCTCAAATACGAATGACTAAGACATCTTAATTTACTACTTTCAATCTTGAAAACTCTTCATCCCCTCCTAATAAGGCAGCCTAACAAAACACTCGAATTTCCACTTCAAGATTCTTGAGATCCTTCTCAATTTCGACACCAGATTTTCCCTCTTGATAGCGTAGGGAACATCATTTTATTTTCCTAATGCTTCTTTGATCAGTGAAAAATTTTATTCCTTCTCCATATTGAAATGGTCACCAAATTTGATGTACAACAAAACTGCCACCAACTCCAGCTCTTGCATGGGATAATTTACCTTATGCTTCTTTAATTCTCTTGATGTATAAATGATTACCTTATCTACTTGCATCAGCATTTACCTAAACCAACGTACGTTGTATCCACGAAACAGTATATGATTGGTTAGGCTCATGCAAAGCTAATATGTACGTAGACATCATGTCTTTCTCCAACTGATAGCACACTTCTTCAATCCTTCGTAGTTTATTCCAGGGTAACATCTTTCTCAGTCAATCATCTCACCGGTTGATATAGTTGCCAGCCCTTTAACAAACTTTTGGTCAATC